GGACTAGCGACACAACATGCGGCCCTCGATTTTTTGAGTTACCAATGACCTATTTAACTCCGATTCAACAGCAAAACTGGGACATCGAAGTGCACACTCAACACATCCTTGCTACTGAGTATCTGCTATTCAGTGTTTTTTACTTTACTTTTTACTAAAAAGTGTGCAAAACGTTTCAAATCGTTTCAAAGAACTGTGTATAGAATGCCGTGCCGGATGCCCTGCTAAGGGCAGGAACCGAGAGTGCCCCTCTACCCACGTTTGTCTTGTATTGACGTTTCCTTTCAGTCCTTGTCATTTCCTGTCATTGCCTTGTCAATCCTAGTGTCATTTCCCTGTCATTTAAAGCTGAGCAAAGGTTAAATTTATAAATTAATTTAACCTTTTTGGTGCTGTATAAAAAAACATTAATTTATTCTTATTTATTAATATTCCTTGTCATTCCTTGTCATTCCTGTCGTTCCCTGTCGTTCCACTGTCATCCCTGCTCATATTGTCCACATCTTGTTGTAAAATTGCAACCATAGGGCACTCTCGATCCTGCCCTCAATTGTAAGTTTCGTACAACATATCACTGTCCCTGTGACGGCGTAAATCCAATGAGTCTTCATATTGTAATGTATTACCTGACTCTGCAATTGCAAAGCCTGATTATGATTGTATGTAAATACATTTGAATTAACCTTTGGGGACCTTTTCTGTATTTGTACAACCATGGAAAAGTGTTTGACAGAATGTTTTTAAAACTAGTGAATGATGTTATAATGTCATTATTCTTAATCTAATCTAATCTAATCTAATCATGAACAACTTGCAACAACAATTAAAAACGATTATCAGTTAAATGGATCGACGTCAATTGAGCATCCAGCAAGTTTTATCGTGTACAATCAGTGATCTTGAGCTCAGCATTTCGTCTTTGACTTACTACAAAAAGATCAAATATTCGAGAAGTAAGGCAGAACGCATTACGATCACTGATAGAGTGAAGGCTACCAAACATTGGGGACAGAGAGATCAAAGGAAAAATTGAACATGACAAAGCGTTGAGAGTTCATGATTGATCAAGGTCATGATATTTCCAATCCTCAAAACGTAAAATACGAGTAAACGTTTAGGCACGCGAAAAGGGGTTACAGACGTGTATCAATTCAAACTTATTCTGATGTATAGTATCCGATATTGTTACACCAGTACATGAATTGCAACCTAATACATATAAATATAAAGAAATGCTGCTTACATTCACTTCAAGCCGTCACGTTACAGCAACTGATAATGAGGCAGATAACGAATCAGAAATATATACTAACTCTGAATAATACTGTAATTAAAGCAATTTAAAGAGACCAAGTTTATAGTGTTATATTGACGAAAAGCTAAATGGGAATGTTTCAATATGAGCCTCAACTCGAAACTTAGATGTGAGATGAAGACTCAGTAGAATACGACAACGTTATCCTAAAAAAACACCATAAAGAATTGTACCACACCGTTATTTGGTCTCACCTAAATTTGGAATATCGGATGGGGTGGGCGAGTAACAATATGCTTCACCTATCGTTCATCACTCTCAGAAAAAATGTATCAGAATACAAATATTGGTGACCTGAAGCATATCTAGATAAGTTTAGAACATGGCCAGAACACGTTGTATAGATGAACAAATCTTAGAAGGAAATTCTTTGAAAAAGACAAACAAAGCCGTTGTTTAACAAGAACGGCATTCTTACCGCCACCAACCAGTAAAAATACCATACCTATTAGAACTGTTCAAAATTGTCAGATAGAATCTCCAATCTCACTCCTATCTTACTCCACAGATCACCATCACAAAGACGTTCAGACCAGTTTCATCACCCCGAACCCATCTCCTCTTTTCATTTATCAATCACAAAAATGTGGAACGACTGTCGAAAAATTGACTAGTTTGATAACTACTAAGTCAATAAACTTAGTTAAAGTAAACACTGAAAAGAGAGCTACTCCAGATACAGTCCCCCAGGTACGGAGAATTAGAATGGACAGAATTAAACTTCGATAAAGAATGAGCTTGTGTTTTAAAACAAGGTCCTATCGCTTTGTTATTTTAAAATTGAAGAAACGTTTTTGGCCACAACTCACTCGTTTGCATTATAGATTCACATTCACTTTCACTTTCACCATCACGCACAGGTACAGGGTCCATACCTCAATACCAAATTATATAGCACAAGAACAAATTTTGTATACAATTATCAAAATTGTTTGAGCCAGCAGCTTTCGTTACTTTAGCCCAGCAGCTATCTCTTCCCACCGTCGTCTGGAGTGTGTGATTTTTGCGATGTCCGAGCTCTTAATTTATCTCTTAGATTATGGTTAACTTTCTGTGATTTGGACTCGGTAATTTCGTCCCGCCGAGTGAATCCGAGCTTGCTCGCCAGTTTAAGCTATACTGTAGATAACACAATTTCTACAAACTGTAGAATATTAAATAGAAAATGGTCCCAGTATGGCGCAGATGCATATTTTGATATTTTTCCGACCCCGTCGTCCCGGGGTGAGAGTTTAATCCGAAATAACTGCAATGCCCCTACGATTGCGTCACACGTGAGCAAGCCTTTGTTTTTGTTGTTTATGTGTTGAAAGGAACATTACTTGATTAATTCATCCATTCGATTTTATAACGAATGAGCTTTACCAAAGACCCCAGGCTATTATGTTCATTAATATAGATTTGGCGGAATGCCAAGGCTGAGCGCGGCCCAGTAAGCTGAGCGCGCCCCAGTAACGATGAGCAATGATATATACCGTTCATCTTAATAATTGGAATCAATTTTATTATATATTTGTATTCGCAATGCACTACTGGGTCGCGCGCGCATCAAATAATGCTTCTCGCAACACATTTCCATTCTCGTACTACTTCACCGTTCACGCTAAATTAAATGACATCAATTGTTTTTTAAAGAAATCGTGGGCATCACTCAGTAAACTGCGCGTCTTTGGCGCGGTCTTTTTGTTATGCATCAAGCCTTCGGTAGATAGGACGAGATGCACCACTGTCCTCACCGAGCTGCGAAGGATTGACATCGTGAATCAATTATATGAAAGATTTTACAAACGAACTTGGCACACAAAAGATATAATGCGGAAGGTTGGCTGGCTCTTTATAATAAATACGACCACCTTCCAATTTACAAGAATGCCTTGCTATAGAAAAAAAGAATAATATAGTACCAACTATACATGCAGCAAGAGTAAACAGGTGGATAAAGCCTCGGTAAAAACGTATCCGGAAAAGTCATTGTGCACTCGGGTCCTTGGTATTGTTCCCGTCGGTAATAGTCCATTACCTACGTTCTGCTTTCATAGTTTTAAAACAATCAGTGAGTTCTAAATATACAGCTTTAAACCGACAAAGTATGAATGAATGAATACCTGACATCTACACTCCTATAAAATTTAAAAAAAGCATGAGTAACTTGTATGATGTAATGATTTCTAAAAAATTTTAAATTAAATTTGGCGCTCACAGTCCTCAAGAACATGTGATCGCCGCGTGACTTCTGTAAATGCACAGGCACCTTCGAGCTTATATGTTATATTATCACCTTACTGGCAGCGTCACCAACGCGCGCTTTATTTTTAGATATGAATATGTTTTTTGATGTTACGATTTAAATACCAAAATTTAAATTTGTTTCCCTAAAATTTGTTTTCCTTATAATGATTGTGTAATAAATTCGAAATTTTCTTTCTCAATATTAGATAACGGAAAGAATCGAACTAAAAATGACAAACGGTGAACAGATTTCGTTTTTCATGTCGAGTGTTTTGTGGGAAAAAGGCCCCCCCGAGTTTGCTACTTGGCTCGCAACTGCGATGAATTGCGCGATCACTCAGTAGGGCGAGTACTTAGATCTGGCCAGGGTGTGAGTCAAGATACAAGGTAGGCAGACTGACTTACTTGACCATTGTTAATGAACTGCCCGGCGCGCGCTACTTCGTAGCACTTGCCATCGGCAACATTTCGATAAGGAAGCGGCTCGCGCTACTTCGAAGAAAATATAGACTAGTAACATCCTCAAATTATACCACAGCTTAATCTAATTGCAAAGTATAGGTTTAGAACTTAAATATGAGGCAAAACAGATTAGAAATGACAAAGTTATCAAGCATTTTCTGTATCTCGTTAACAATATTGACTGGGTGATTATGTGACACCGTGACACGACACCTTAATTGGGCACCTTAACAATTCCCATAATGTTTAACGGGGTAGTTAACGGGGGCACCTTATCACGTGATTAGGTAAACCAATCACCTGATCACACGTAATGAATAAACTCGTTATGCTTCATATCTCGGTCATCTGAGAAGCTACAGTTCTAATTCTTTCAGGACAAACGTAATTCCATAACATTTAGCTTGATCCGACTGTCCAAACTATCAAATAAATGTGAAAATGAACCTCCATTTGAAAAAATGAATGCGAATATTTTTCGAGTTGACAAATTCCTCGAACCAGTGGTGGTACTAAGTCATACCAGAAAGAAGTATTTAAATTGGGCACTCAGTGACTGAGCTATAAATGCCAACGTATGGGTACTGACTTTTGGCCCACTCTGTACATTGCAAAAGATTTTATCTCGATTCGTGATCAAGTTCAAAAGAATTGAAGTTGTTACAATGCCGAACAATGCGCGCAATTCCGCCTTGGACCTTGGTATGGTATGTATGGGGAAATATAAACTACGCCTTCGAGAATTTAATCGGCGGGGACTTCAAGCCATGAATTTAGTTTATGGATCCAGTATAGACTTGAACAAAGGACAAAATAGACATTGGACAAGATAGAAACAAGATAGAGGCATGGCCTTATTAAACAAATTTTTCATTAACTTTGACAGTAAATAAGTAAAAGTTAACCGTGCCGAGTTAACGTTTATTATTTTCAGCATTCAACTGGTCCATATGTTAACAATCGCAAGCCAATAGAAAATAAAAATGCGTGAATGTGAGTTGAAAAGTAAAAACAAATTCGAGGTTATAAAAAACATTACAAAATCAAAACATTTCATATAACTTTTAAAAGAATCACAATAAAAGTATATATAGTATCAAAATCAAAACAGATCTTTAACCTTTACACTTATGCTGCTACCAGTGGGCCCTCATTCTCTGTTACTAAAGTTTGAAATGCTTAAACTCAAAAGCTGTATCTGTTACAACAACGCTTTGAGGTAATACCAGTTCGATCATTTCCTCTGTTTAGGAAATTACGTTAACATTGAGCAATGAATGCACGTTACACTATTGATTTAATGCAAGTAACAAAAAGTAAATAATTGACAATTCAGATTACATGATTTATAATTAAATACTATATCACAAGTTGATATTTTGTCAGATTCAACATAATGACGGCCCCCATCCACTGCGTACATGATTCCACCCCGAAACGCTCAATCCCCGAAATGAAAACCTCGTAAAATACATGACAATAAGTTTAACACGTGACATAATAACACGTGTTCTATACCACGTACGTGTTATAAAACACGTGACATATGCAGGTGGTAATCATCACCAATCTTCACACACTGTATACATAATCAGAATGAGGAATCAGATAATTGACATTAAGAAAGTATTACATAAAATGAAGGTATCATCACAATCAGACTACTGATACTATTAGAGTAAACCACGCTGGAACCATCACAATTAACCAATTAATTAATTGTCAATTAAACGCGCTGTCCACATAAGACAATTATCAGTTTTGGTATACCTAACAACATCAACTTATTAGATCCGATATGAACGGTATTTACAACTACTGTATCTGAAAACATCCTCCAGGATAGCGTAACCATGGTGACGGATAAACCGTAACTAGGCGAATTATCTGGAGCTACGTTGCCATGGTTACGAACTAGTTATGATCTGTGTACTATATCTACTTGTGAGGCTGGAGGAGCTACGTGGGCAGCCTGCTGTCGAGCAGAATGAAGCTGTTTCGGTTATTTGGATTTTGGAGCGTGGCTCGTTTGCTTCGAACTAGTCTGTAGTCTGGTTCTTTGAACTTGACGTAGTTGATTCGGTATAACCACCGCCACATTTCCGCCTCATCTGCCGCACTGGGGAAGTGGCGAGTTAGTCGAATTCAATTAAAACTAAAATTGGGTGAATGTGATTCAAGGTGAATCGAAAATGATAAGAAATAAAAGAAAAAATTAAAGTGAATTTTTAGCTCAACTCACCAGAAAACTTTGAAGATATCATCTTTGTGATCTCTGGTTGGACTGACGCATCGTAGAGTGAAGCAGTGGCTGCGGAAATTACTTGATTATTTCATGTCTGCCACGTTATTGTTTTTTAGGGGAAGGTTAATTATCATTGGAAACCGGACGTGCCTTAGATTAAATATTAACGTACCTTAGATTAAATGTTAACTTTAAATTTCCTAAAATTCTTAGAAAAAGTTTTGACGCAGGGGGTGGTAACCAGGTACGGGGGTAGTAACCGGATAATGAGGTGGTTACCATGGTTACCATGGTTTCACTTACTGAGTTGGAGGTGACAAGTTAGTCTCACAGCCGAGGTACCACGTGTAGTTCAGCAGATTCAGATTAGTCTTAACTTTTAGTTTAGAGTAAGTGAAGTTATCCTGGCTCAGCTTGCACTGAACTTCCCGCCATTTCTTCTTTGCTTCGTACATGTGGAGGGAACCTGGGGAAAGGGGGAGGTGAGGAGGAGAAGTTTAGTGAGATACGAGGATTTTTACTGCTAAATCGGTTTCTTGTTATTTTAGGAGATGGTTACCAGTTACTCGATGGATCAGTCGAGATTCAAGTATTTATTTCTCAGCCAGCTAGTTGTGATCCCTTGTAATTAAGGTACAAAATACCTTACGAGACATTTATTATTTATGTTCGACATAATTCCGGTGACCGAAATGATTTGGGAAAAACTATGGGAATTTTTACCGAAAACCGCCACATTTCGTACCCCGAATTAAATCATGGTATTTGGGTTTTTTTCATCTCCTTTTTTTACAAAAATGAAACCAAATATTTGAGAAAGCTGTTCCATCTTGTAAACAATTTCTCCGGAGCCTTTGAAAGTTAGCCTCAACTTAACTTATAATCCTCCAGAGGATATAGGAGACCGACAGTGTTTGTTATCCCGAAATTTCACCGCAGTGGCCAATAAAGTAGTGACAGAGCTTGCTTATTCTTAATGGAATGTGTCCAAAATCATTTTTTAAGCAATTCATGATCGAAACTAGTATTCATTAATTGTTTGATGAATCATATTTACAACTTACTTAGATAGTCCAAAAATATGGTGTTTTTTTTCGAAAAACCACTTTCGTACCATTTAAATAATATGTCTCGTAAGTTAAGGCAAAACCATTCTTGATTAATTGAATTCCATTAAAAAAGCTGGTCAATTGAAGCCTACAATTTCATCGATTAAATATTAAATGTCCATATTAAATAGGTTTGAATTAAGTTATGTATCAAAGAGAATGATTGGGAGATTCAGTCATTGAAACCAACAAATAAATGTAAAGGTTGAGAATGACCTTTATTTCAAAATCAACTCTTCTGTTGGATATTCGTGATGAATATCCTGGAGATCACACGAATTTCAATTGCACGGAGTAAGCTACAAGCAGCAATAAAGTAAATTTTAGATTATTGTAGATAATAGCGCAAACAAAGTGATTTCGCCAAATTCCTGAGATACCTTCCGTAACTCCACGATAGACACAAGGTTCTAGATACTTCGGCAGCGAGGTTAGAGGGCAGTGAGACAACACTGATACGAGAAATTAGATAGTAGAATAAGAAATTAAATTAATTTAAGTAATTTAAGTAATTTAAGTAATTTGAGTAATTTAAGTAATTTAAGTAATTTTAGTAATTTAAGTAATTTAAGTAATTTAAGTAATTTAAGTAATTTAAGTAATTTAAGTAATTTAAGTAATTTAAGTAATTTAAGTAATTTAAGTAATTTAAGCAATTTAAGTAATTTAAGTAAATTAAATAGTTTAAGTTATTAAATAGTACGTAGAGAAATAAAATAGTAGCGTGAAAACTCGAAAGTATGATTTAAAAATGCAGTAGGTTCAGCTAGTACGAAAATAATCAGTAATTGATCAGCTCAATTAATTTATAAAACCACACAAACAATTACCTTGTTCAGTAGAATCATGAGGTGGAGGCTCGTATATCTTTAGTTTCTCCTTAATGTTATTATAGTCGATAGCAAGCCAGGACCTCTGTACTCGCTCCTCCCAAAGAGTTACTGTTGTGTTCAACAGGTACTCCGACAGATGCACTGGACGCTGTCAGAAAAGTGGGGTTAATTGGTGCAATTATTGGAGTATTAGTGGATAATTAGATTTTAATTGGATAGGTAATTGGTTATATAATTTGTAATTACATATCATTATTGGTTATTGATGTTCTGGTCAGCGGGGTTGCTATTTTCCAGGTTTTATTTCACTTAGTTTTTTAGCTGTAACATACATCGTTTTGTTTTATTTTGTTAGTATAGTTTCTATGAGCACAGTTTAGGTTGGATTGGGGATAGTTGAATGTTAGAAATTTGTCTTTCAGCAGAGATGTTGTGTTAATAAAACAGGTACTTTTTCGCAAACAGTTATTTGAGCAAGTCCATTTGAACAATATCAATCGGACGAATGACAATAGCAGGCTTGTTACAAATACTTGGCAGCCCAATCAGAGCTGCCCTCTCAATAGCAGCTTCGCAATTATTCCATATAAAGATATAAGGAATAACTGAGATCACGTGACCATTGTTCGGATCACGATTTCACTAGGATCTGCTTCCAGTCAATCACCATACTCCATAGCCTAGTCATTCACACAATCCTCTGCTGATTCACTCAATAATTCTCACATTCACCAGTACAATTACCATATGGCATATCCCCACCACCAGTACAATTACCATATCCCCACCACCAGTACAATTACCATATCCCCACCTCCAGTACAATTACTATATCCCCACCACCAGTACAATTACCATATCCCCACCTCCAGTACAATTACCATATCCCCACCACCAGTACAATTACTATATCCCCACCTCCAGTACAATTACTATATCCCCACCTTCAGTACAATTACCATATCCCCACCACCAGTACAATTAATATATCCCCACCACCAGTACAATTACCATATCCCCACCACCAGTACAATTACCATGTCCCCACCACCAGTACAATTACCATATCCCCACCACCAGTACAATTACTATATCCCCACCACCAGTACAATTACCATATCCCCACCACCAGTACAATTACCATATCCCCACAACCAGTACAATTACCATATCCCCACCACCAGTACAATTACCATATCCCCACCACCAGTACAATTACCATATCCCCACCACCAGTACAATTACTATATCCCCACCACCAGTACAATTACCATATCTCCACCTCCAGTACAATTACCATATCTCCACCTCCAGTACAATTACTATATCTCCACCTCCAGTACAATTACCATATCCCCACCACCAGTACAATTACTATATCCCCACCTCCAGTACAATTACTATATCTCCACCTCCAGTACAATTACCATATCCCCACCACCAGTACAATTACTATATCCCCACCACCAGTACAATTACTATATTCCCACCTCCAGTACAATTACCATATCCCCACCACCAGTACAATTACTATATCCCCACCACCAGTACAACTACTATATCCCCACCACCAGTACAATTACCATATCCCCACCACCAGTACAATTACCATATCTCCACCTCCAGTACAATTACTATATCCCCACCACCAGTACAATTATCATATCCCCACCACCAGTACAATTACTATATCCCCACCACCAGTACAATTACTATACCTCCACCTCCAGTACAATTACCATATCTCCACCTCCAGTACAATTACCATATCCCCACCACCAGTACAATTACTATATCCCCACCACCAGTACAATTACTATATCCCCACCACCAGTACAATTACCATATCCCCACCACCAGTACAATTACCATATCCCCACCAACAGTACAATTACCATATCCCCACCACCAGTACAATTACTATAACCCCACCACCAGTACAATTACCATATCCCCACCACCAGTACAATTACTATATCCCCACCACCAGTACAATTACTATATCCCCACCACCAGTACAACTACCATATCCCCACCACCAGTACAATTACCATATCTCCACCTCCAGTACAATTACTATATCCCCACCACCAGTACAATTACTATATCTCCACCTCCAGTACAATTACTATATCCCCACCACCAGTACAATTACCATATCCCCACCACCAGTACAATTACCATATCCCCACCACCAGTACAATTACTATATCCCCACCACAAGTACAATTACTATAACCCCACCACCAGTACAATTACTATATCCCCACCACCAGTACAATTACCATATCCCCACCACCAGTACAATTACCATATCCCCACCTCCAGTACAATTACCATATCCCCACCACCAGTACAATTACCATATCCCCACCACCAGTACAATTACTATATCCCCACCACCAGTACAATTACTATATCCCCACCTCCAGTACAATTACCATATCCCCACCTCCAGTACAATTACCATATCCCCACCACCAGTACAATTACCATATCCCCACCACCAGTACAATTACCATATCTCCACCTCCAGTACAATTACTATATCCCCACCACCAGTACAATTACTATATCCCCACCACCAGTACAATTACCATATCCCCACCACCAGTACAATTATTGGTTCTTTTGCGATAGTCAAAACGCGACAACTAGCGCTGGATGGCGACAACTAGCGCTATCCAGCGCTAGTTGTCGCCATCCAGCGCTAGTTGTCGCTATCCAGCGCTGGATAACGCTGGCCAGTGCAAAATATTTATGTTCGATAATTGTCGCTATCCAGCGCTAGTTGTCGCCATCCAGCGCTAGTTGTCGCCATCCAGCGCTAGTTGTCGCTATCCAGCGCTAGTTGTCGCTGGCTATGCGACACTGTCGCACGCGATAGTTTGCGATGGCCAGCGCAACTGGCCATCGCAGAAAACAGTTCGATAACTAGCGCTGGATAGCGACAACTAGCGCTGGATAGCGCTAACCAGCGCTAACCAGCGCTAACCAGCGCTAACCAGCGCTAGCCAGCGCTAACCAGCGCTAGCCAGCGCTAACCAGCGCTAGCCAGCGCTGGCCAATGTATTCCAATGTGTCCAACTTCAATCGATGTATTTTCGGACGCTAATTCCGAATCAACCCCCATGGGCCCATGCCATAGTTGTCGCTACAATATCTCGTCAGGAGAGCTCCTGACGAGATATTGGCGAAAAACTGTACATGTATCGATCACGTGATATGACCGTATAAGGAAGTTAGTCTAATTTCTCGTTATTGTTAGGGTTTCAGCATATGTTTTTGTTAAGGATTGGGTTAGGGTTAGGGTTGGGATCAGATTAGAGGGTTGGGGTTTCGAAAAGTCGTTCAGAACCAGCTAGAGTCAGAGAATGGGTTAAAAAAGGCACGTGACAGTCAAGTGTAAAGTGATTATTCATCATCCGAGTAATATCGCAAGTATATGATTTTGATACATTGCGCTGGCTAGCGCTGGTTACCGCTGGCTAGCGCTGGCTAACGCTGGCTAGCGCTGGCTAGCGCTGGCTAGCGCTGGCTAGCGACAACTAGCGCTGGCTAGCGCTGGATAGCGACAACTAGCGCTGGCTAGCGCTGGCCAGCGCTAGCTGACGAGTAATAGCGCAAAAATTTTGCGCTGGATATCGATGGCCAGCGCTGGCCAGCGCTGGCTATCGCTTAGCGCTGGCCAGCGCTGGCCAGCGCTAGTTGTCGCTATCCAGCGCTAGTTATCGAACTGTTTTCTGCGATGGCCAGTTGCGCTGGCCATCGCAAACTATCGCGTGCGACAGTGTCGCATAGCCAGCGACAACTAGCGCTGGATAGCGACAACTAGCGCTGGATGGCGACAACTAGCGCTGGATGGCGACAACTAGCGCTGGATAGCGCTAGTTGTCGCCATCCAGCGCTAGTTGTCGCGTTTTGACTATCGCAAAAGAACCCAATTATTATATCCCCTGTCCCCACCACCAGTACAATTACCATATCCCCACCACCAGTACAATTACTATATCCCCACCACCAGTACAACTACCATATCCCCACCTGGTCAGGGACAAAAGGATTTCGCGGCATGTACGAAACCGCGAAATTTCCCATTCTCCGCGACAAATCGCGATTTTTTACGTTTTCCGCGACAGATCGCGAAATTTCCCATTCTCCGCGACAAATCACGATTTTTTCAGTCCTCCGCGAAAAATCGCGCATTTTCCTTTAAATCTGAAGACCAAATTTGCGCATTTTCCTTTAAATCTGAGGACCAAGTTTGCGTATTTTCCATAAAATCTGCGGGCCAAATGTCACGTTTTCTACAAGTATTAAGTATATGAAACTAATCACATTTACAGCCTTCCGTGAGTTCCGATTGTAGGTACATTCTCGATACGTACCTCTGAAGGCGGAGCTTCCGAGCTTCCGGAGCTTCCGAGCTCGTATTGCGAAGGGAAGGCCTGCCTTCCGAGATCGCATTACAAGGGAAACCCTCGAGTCCAAAATCGTGTATCGAAGCGTATGTGTGACCTTTGAAAACCGAAAAAAATATTTTCGGCTCATATAATGATCAGGGTAGCATGAAACATGAACAAAAGTAGTTTCCAGAAAAACTTTGAAAAATTTTGACTTTGAAAATGTTCGGTCCGAGTCATTCTTGATACGTACCTCTGAAGGCGGAGCTCCCGCTTCCGAGCTCGTATTGCGAAGGGGAGGCCTGCCTTCCGAGATCGCATTACAAGGGGAGTCCTCGAGTCCAAAATCGTGTATCGAAGGGTATGTGTGAACTTTGAAAACCGAAAAAAATATTTTCGGCTCATAATGATCAGGGTAGCATGAAACATGAACAAAAGTAGTTATAAAAATTTTGACTTAGAAAATTTTCTGTCCGAGTCATTCTCGATACGTACCTCTGTAGGCGGAGCTCCCGCTTCCGAGCTCGTATTGCGAAGGGGAGGCCTGCCTTCCGAGATCGCATTACAAGGGGAGCCCTCGAGTCCAAAATCGTGTATCGAAGGGTATGTGTGAACTTTGAACACCGAAAAAAATATTTTGGGCTCATAATGAGCAGGGTAGCACAAAACATGAACAAAAGTAGTTTCCAGAAAAACTTTGAAAAATTTTGACTTAGAAAATTTTCTGTCCGAGTCATTCTCGATACGTACCTCTGAAGGCGGAGCTCCCGCTTCCGAGCTCGTATTGCGAAGGGGAGGTCTGCCTTCCGAGATCGTATATGGAAGTTGACCAGTAGACATATAAAACTTGACCAGACGACATAAAGTTGACCAGTAGACATATAAAACTTGACCAGACGACATAAAGTTGACCAAACGACATATAAAACTTGACCAAACGACATAAAGTTGACCAGACGACATAAAGTTGACCAGCAGACATAAAAAACTTGACCAAACGACATAAAGTTGACCAGAAGACATACAATGGATTAAGAAATCGAACAGTATGTTAAATCAGTGTTGTTATTGAATCGTCACTTGTCAGATATTTCGTCATCGTTATTCGCTTGGTATTGTATTCGCTTGTTATAATGGACCGCTTTGTCAAACGGCCTGCCGAGTGCCGACAAACCGGCTGGACCTTCGTCTAGCAAACGCTCGAAACAGGCTAAACAGGGCAATGTAACAGCTTCCACGAGAGTGGCTGAATTTGGCAAATCATCGTTTTATGCTGACAATGGGAAGCTATTTTGTAGAGCATGTAATCTCGTCGTAGTCCACATAAGGAACAATCATGGGCTTCCCTCGGGATGTGGTTAGAACTTCTAGAAGGTTCGTGCAGGGGGCCGGGGTAAGGATGTCGTCCAGGTTGATGTTAGCTTCAAGGGGTAGAGGTTGGATACTAGATGGGGATAGACTAGGTAGGGATGGACTAGGTAGGGATGGATTGAAAAGTTCGTAGTAATAGTATTCCATTGCTATAGTTGTGAAGTGTAGATGGTCGAATGATGATGTCTCCTGTCGTCTGTTGAAAGTTATATAGTATCGATAACGAGATATGTCATACAGTACGTATGACATTGCAATTCAACATTTGAGATCATGTCAAAAGTTATGGCAGCTCTTGTTGTTATGGACCCCCATCAGCCTGTATCAGATCATATGATGAGATCACATCCTCATGGGACATGAGCCGATCAAATAGAATAGTCAAAGAATATGTGAACTCTAACTAAGCACTGTAAATACATTATTTTTGCCGCGAATTTGCCGCGATTTTTCGATTTTTTGCCGCGAATATGCCGCGATTTTCGAAATTCCCGCCGCGAATTAGCCGCGAATAAGCCTAGTTTGGCTTGTCGCGGTGCCGCGATTTTTGGCCAAAATAACCGCGAAATCCTTTTGTCCCTGCACCTGGTGGTCCTCCAGTACAATTACCATATCCCCACCACCAGTACAATTACTATATCTACACCACCAGTACAACTACCATATCCCCACCACCAGTACAATTACCATATCCCCACCTCCAGTACAATTACCATATCCCCACCTCCAGTACAACTACCATATCTCCACCTCCAGTACAATTACCATATCCCCACCACCAGTACAATTACTATATCCCCACCACCAGTACAATTACCATATCCCCACCACCAGTACAATTACTATATCCCCACCACCAGTACAATTACCATATCCCCACCACCAGTACAATTACCATATCCCCACCACCAGTACAATTATCATATCCCCACCTCCAGCAACAACAACCACGTCTTTACATCATGGACCAGTGACCAGTGACCAGTGACCAGTGACCAGTGACCAGTGACCAGTGACCAGTGACCAGTGACCAGTGACCAGTGACGCACTTCCATTTCAAACCATCTCACAATTTTATATTGTCCATTTCAAAGTAAAAGGTGTATAAAAGTAAGGAGATGTTAGGACGATAATTCCGCGGTGTTAAAGCTCTGGATATTTAGACTCGAGACATTCTCAATCTAATCGATAAATTATTCACAAAGTAAACAGTTGAACGAGCAGGAGGAATGACCCGCGTCCTTTTTGTCTAACTATTTGCTGTCTGAGATTTATTTTTCAATAAATATTTTGGAATCCAAGGAGAAAAGAAAATCATTTATAATTAGCAGTCTAAATGTTTTTACGGAGGATGAAGCTTCTTTAAATTTCGACTAAGGACAAGTTATGGATCAGCAAAGAGATTATAAGATTAGGCATATGGTACATAATGCGGTTCATTTTTCTAAATATTATTTTAGATACTTAACTCCTTCTTTAAGGCTTTAGCCTTAAGGGGTATAATTATACAAGCGAAAATAGTTATGACACTAAAAATCTATTTCATTTATTGAGTATTATGTAATAGCGTTAAGCGTTTTTACCAGGAGTAGCCATTTCCCTGGCTCCATAATATGAAGAATTTTTTAAATTCAAGACGAAAAGCTCGAATAGTTTTACGTGGTTTTTAACCGATTTTCATCTGTTAAAAAATGTTTAGCTGTAGGGTATCTGATTTACGTTACCAACCCCAGCTTTAGTTAAGTTTCCACAGTTATTTCTTCTATTAAACAATGAGCTGCAATTGAGCAGGCAGCTCATATTGTACCTCCAAGTATCTACAAGGCGCCTATAATGAGTATGCTAGTTACCTGAAGCTGCCCATTACAGAGGAACTCATGCAGAGCATAATCTCCATCAGCCAGTTTAGCTCGATACAAGATCTCCGCGGAGACATCCCGCAGAGTCTGGCCGGACTCTATCTTGATATTGACACTGTTCTGGTTGTGGAACACCTCTACAATCCAGCTGTTCTCCACGCTACCCTGGGGTGCGTCTATGTTGGACATTATCTTGCGGAGCTCTGCTTCTGCTAGTTTCAGCTCTTTTCCTTTACTCTCTTCTAGTTCTACGTTCACCTGAGGGTGAGGGTTGGGTCAGGAATGTTTTAAAAGTGGTATATCAGTAGGAACAGTGTGGTTAGAATGGAAGTTGAAAGGAGTAGGGCAACAATATCGTCATCGAATTACCAGTTGAAACAAGCGTCATGATCAGAATTTAGATGAAGGACACCACGTGAAAAAAAGTGAGAAATAACACCAAACCTGGAATATCCAGGGGAAGTAGTCGATGAGAGTGGTAACAAGCTGGTACTCGTGGGGGTTAAACTCGCTGCCAACCTCGTGTGTACTCATCAGAGTCGGACCAAATATCACTCCTGCGATAGATTAGTTTCATTGTGTGTACGTTTAACTTGTATTGTATTGATATGAGTTTCTAATGTAATTGTTTAGCAGGGTTGTGTAGTGACGTTGTTAACCACGTAACTACCTTACAAGACATATTTATAACGTACGAAATGTGGCGGTTTTCCGAAAATTTCGCCATATTTTTGGACCGCCAAAATTTCGGTCGTCGTAATAGAATCCGTCGCATTATCTTTTAGCTTATTTCAATGACTGTGCCTTCACTGCTTTATTTTGTTTCTAAAAAGTAAAATAAATAAATAAATTCTGGCATCTTGGGACAAATTATCACCACACCAATGACGAATTGAATGTCAAGCAATACAGTTTAAATTTGCATTAAAATACATGTATGTGCTAACATGAAAGTCTTACAGTCTTAATACAGACTAAGTTTGAACATGATTTTACCGAATTTCAGAAATTTCCTTACTGCTTACTGTCACAAAAATGATGAAAAATACCCTTATTTTCTGTGACGTCCGAAATTTGACGGTTTTTGTTCAATTTCGCCATATTTTCGGACCGCCAAAATTTCGGTCGTCGCAAATTGGTCCGCCACAAATAAGTCTTGTAAGGTAGGTAACGAGGTCGCCTGATTCAGTCATAATATTCATCACAACTCATTTATTGTCACGTGAGGTCGGGGAAGTGTGGGCGGTTAACATCTCAGCATCTGGTTCTTACAGGGAAAATTATAATATTCGGTTGAAAAGTGGAAATGGGCCAATACCAGTGAGGTAAGCGGGTTTGATTTTCCGGCTAGCCAAAAAAATTCTAAAAATTACTTCCAATCAACTTCATGACGAATTCCGCTGAAAAGAGAGCAGAACCAATTACTACCAAAGACTAAAAACCATTTAAGCACTTCCAGGGGATTTCGCTCCAAGTTTACTATGTTAATATTCCTATAATAGCTAAGTCTCGTATAACTCTGAAACTGCAAAAGGGATGACGGTTTCTCAATATTCATTTCCTCTGCGTCATTCTTAGAGTGAAGTCACTAACACGGTGACTAAGTCAAATTTCAGTTTATTGTCTACATTTTGGTTTCACTAAAGTAGAGATTATACTTATAGAAAGCCTAAAATACGTTCCATGAGTCCTTGTGGTTGCAAAATAAAATAATATTCTGGTATTCATAACGACCCCGGCGTAAAACAATTCATAACTCTTCTTAAGATGTGATTTGATTTGATTGGCGTAATATGATTGCTGTCTCAGAGTGTCTCAGCAGGTCTTTAATTAATAACTTTTTTTAATAAATAACGATAACTGGTCGTTGAATAGTATGAAAGCCCAACGTCAATCATACTGGGGGGGGTACCAATGGCATAAAATGGCATAAATGGCATACGTTTTATGGCATAAATGGAAATTTTTATTGGCCAATTCTCCATTTATGCCATGAATTTAGGTCTTCATATTTGACTTTAAATTCGCAAATTATTATTAGTACTTGAATAAGAGACATGTTTCATGCTTTATAACGCTTGGAATGATCGTTAAAGATTCATATGACAAATAAATAAAATAGAAATGTATTATATCAAAAATGGCAAAAATGGCATACGTTTTATGGCATAAATGGAAATTTTTATTGGCCAATTCTCCATTATGCCATTTATGCCATTGGTACCCCCCCATCATACTGCTTGTTTGTAGAAAATTTTGTTGTCATCTAATCAAGCAGCGTGCAGTCTGGTAAATATCCAGCAAAATATCACTTTTTCTTATAAAAACTAAAAGTAAAACCTTGATCATTGTAAACACGAAACAGTACCCAGTGTCCTCAGATTAGATGCTGTATATTTACCAGATTGCACGCTCGATTACAGTTCCTCCTAGCAAATGACATTTTTACTTTTATTCTGCGAGGGTCAATTGGTTTTGTGCTCACGCGGCCTCTATTTATCTTAGAGTCTTAGGAGTGGTTTAAATGTATGAAACATTTACGAAATTTAGATGACGATTCAAGAAGTCAATATTCAATATAGCATTGAGGTGCATTTTCACCAGTTCCCATCTCCTCTTTGGAATACGCTGTGATATCTGATGACAATTTAGGCCATATAAAATATCGCTCTAAAGTCTAATGGACCTAAAATATTAAGACTAATCTTACGAAATTGTTTCGTAAGTTGAAAGCTAAAGTACCTTCATACAGTGCAGATATCGCACAAATTTACGCTATAATAATATATCATTATCATCATGATTCTGCCCAAGTCTTGTCAAATCAAGGAATTATTGCTCCATATTATCCATCAATATAATATGTGTGTACTGTGTGCATTGTGCAATATGCGTCTACACTCTGAACTAAACGCGAATATTTAAACCTTTATTCGTTTACTTTAAATGAACGTGGTCTTCCTTAACTCTTAGCAAAAAGTTTTGTCGACTTATTTCTGATAGCGTAAAATCACATACTTTTTCTGATAACGTAAAACCACGTACATGTTTCTAGTACCCTCAATATTCAAATATGTGGTGAGGTTTGATTTGATTGCTACAAGAAACTTAGGTCTTCAGTTCTGGAGAAGCCATTACTTCTAGAATATCCAGGGTGCGATACAATCATGTTCAGATAACTACTCGATATGTTATCCCATTTGGGGTCTGGAGTCTGGACTCTTCGTTTGTATGATGCTGATGTGTCTTATTTTGTTATTGCAGCTCATTTCACTGATTACTCGTTCTCATTATTATTAATTTCACAACCTCAATTGCATGGTCCACAAGGGGCGTGGAATGTTGGGACCCTTAAATACTAAGTAGTTATTGGCTGCTCTGTTCTCAAGATCTTTTCAATCCTTTATGAGTTATGGCCATGTAATGGACTCCATTATTCAAATAACCAAATTCTGAACCATTTTTATTATCTTGTTGGCTTACCTAGATTCTCACTGCCCATCTTGTTGACTGACTGTTGCTGTGCCACTGAGTAAAGGTGCTGTAAAACGAACTTTAGAGTGTGGAATTCTGTAGCCGGTAGCTCGTATATCAGATCCTAAATAGTACAGTGTTAGTCGATAGAGAAGGTAGAAAGTAGAAGTACAGTGTTAGAGAAGTATAAATAGTGGAGGTGGAAATATCTAAGAATCTGAGTATTAAGCGTCCTTATTTTTGTCAGATGATATAAGAGTATAGAATGGCGGAGCCACAATAAAAAACCAATCAGCTTTAACAATATCTAGCTTACAAACCTGAGTTTACTGAGTTACAACGTAATACTATTTAGTTATACGTGCTGCCGGGCAACAGACACTCAATTAATCAAGATGGAACTGTGCTATAGCTAAGTCTAATTTCATGTCAACCTCTGGGAAATATCGTAACTACCGGGGACTGTCCAGCTTACTTAGTTACAATTTCATAATTATAACCAAGATATAGCTAACATCACATGCATTGACGAACGAGGGAGAGCGCACTTGACTCTCAAAGAGTCTCTCTCTTGATAAATCTGATAAAGTTTCTTAGCTCCTTACCTGTATCTGATAAAGCCTCTCGGTTTCATCATCAATCTCGACAGCCTCAGTGAGCTGCTGGTTCCACGGACCCAGTAATGAGACAGGCAGTTCCCTGAAGTACTGCTTCATCATGCTGGTGACGTCATGGGTCACGTGGTGCTCGTCTGACAGGGTCACCTCGTGTAAATTCTGGAATTAGTTGTGGGGTTAGTTGCCAGTTGGACAGGGTCACCTCGTGTAAATTCTGGAAATAGTTGTGGGGTTAGTTGCCAGTTGGACAGGGTCACCTCGTGTTGTTGTGGGGTAAGTTGGTTATTTGTTTGATTAGGCACCTGAGGAGGTTAGCTGATGATTAAAAGTAAGATATCCGAATAAGGACAAAAATTCCTGAGATTATCAAAAATCGTTAAACATAAAATTATTGCTAAATACACAATGATTCATAGATCAACAAGTTCTCTGGCGGTTGCCATTTATGGTTATCAATCCCCTCAAAAATAAAATAATTTTAAGATATCCTTGCCATCTGATTAATTCATCACCAGGTAACTCGTGGTATTTAAATTGGTATTTAATTTATATACCACAGCTTTCACCCAGTGATGAATTCCGATTTGCGAATACTTCGCATTTTTCAAATTCATTCCCTGTCGCGTTACCCGTTCCCAAAATATTTGAATTAAGGAAACCTCAGCAATTCTCATGAAATATGCAACAAAACATGATACAAAGATGCTAGTTTACGATTTAGCACGTACTTAATAATTCTCATATTTTAATTTCTACTAAATTACTGAAACAGCTGTGCACTGGTTATTGTTCTTTTCCCTACTTTATCATATTTCACTTTAGTATTATGTAGCACGGACATGTTTCTTAGCTGTTTAGTGGCCGTTCCCGGTGACGAAAGGACCCTTTTTAAAATATTATGAACTGTTGCTACTAGTAGGGTTGCTACTAGTAGGGCACCAATAACTTCTCTTTTTCGTTTCGCTTGTTAGTAGGATAGCGGGGGGCATACTATTTAAAGCGTATCTCTAGTTGAGTGTAACCAGCACAATAAAATACAACACCACAATATTCTGGTTCACCCTTATCAGTTACCACACAACATCTAACTTTACCAACCTGATTGAACAGTAGTCTGAGTTTCTCTATCCTGGTTTTAACCCCGGATATCCGATATAACCCCTCCGTGTCGATCTTGTTTTCCAGGAAAATAACACACTTGTGGACGAGGACGGGGATACCGTTTTGAGTTTTCGGTTGTTTGTCAATAGGTACTCCGAATATCTGAAGAAGTGAGGTTGATGGTGTTAGGGAGCGGGGATGGTGTCTTCTATAATCTATTCTGTGCAGTTATTACTGCAATAATGCAGTATAAGAATTATATTATGTGACTGAGCTCGTTCAAATATATCAAAATCACAGATAGCTTTCTTTTAGTTAAGTTCAAATTTTGATAAATTTTGATAAATTTTGATAGATTTTGATAAATTTTGATAAATTTTGATAAATTTTGATAATAATACATTGAAAGAAAGAGAAGATATTGAAGAAGCTTGTATGTTGCAGTTAAATACAGTTTTCCCATATGGTCTCAACGTTCGTGTTAAAAAGAAGAACATACTAGATGCCTGCAATATTGTGATGAACTCTAAAACAACGATTTATAGTCAGTTCGATATAGTTAAAATAAATAGACGTGGAGGTAGATTCATTAGTAATATAGTAAGTGAAAGACAAGAATTTGATATCGATGTATTTTATGAAGATTTGCTGGATGATGATAATATGATTGATATGCATGATATTCGTACTAATCTATGTAATCTTAAAAAGAAACAACTTAAATTAGTATATATTGAAGCTATATCTTATATTAATAATTTTAATAGTAGTATAACGACATATAGATTTCATAAAATTCTCTTAGTTAAAGATTTATCATGGTTTTACCTTACAAGAATGGGTTTAGCGTGTAAGAATAATAGTAAATCAAATTCTTTTATTGTTGTTAATTATGTTAATAAATTTGTCGAGTATATTGATTTTCGAAAGATATTTAAAATGGAACAAGTTACTAAAGCTGCACCATTCAAGTCAAAGTATCATCAGCAACCTACATTGTCCTATAAATACCCTCCAACAATCAGATCTAAAGTACTTAACTACAAAAAAGTATATAATGAAGCTAACATTGACTCAGAAACATTGAAATGTAATTGTGCATCAAGTCGTTATACAGACCCTACTCATAAACATGTCATTACAGGAGAGCTATCAATGATCAGTAATGATAAACTTCGTAATCTCCTAATGAAGGGATTAAATTATAGAGACCAAGCTAAACCATGTACTGAAAAAGCTTTAAAATCAGTAAAGACGGCACTCAAAAGCTATTGCGATAAATTGTCTAATTTATGGCATAAACCTATAGAAGAGTTTCAAGAGTGGAAAACACTAATCATAGAGCAAGTGAAGATTCAACTGCAAGGAGCTAAACCATATCCCTATTATTCAGTATTATCAGATGTTGAAGTCTTAGCAGATTTAGATGAGCTTCATAAAGATTTTGTATTGGTTCCTACCGATAAAGCCAAAAATAATATTACTATTGTTTGTAAAAAGTTCTATATTAGTATGATTGAAAAGGAATTATCATCGAATACATTTACTAAAGTTATTCGTTCAGAAGATGATATAATTAATGAGCATAAAGCATTCTTACTTAAACATCGTATTAAATTTGATGAAGATAATAGCAAATTACCTTATTTATATATTACACCAAAACAGCATAAAAAGCCAGTCGGAGTTAGATATATAACGTCTGGTAGTGGAAGTAGTTTACAACAATTATCAGTCTATCTTAGCATTTGTATTAAATCTATGCTTCACTCAGCTAAAAATAAATCTATATATGATAATAAATTTCACGTTAGAAATGATTATTTTGTTATTGATAATAATGAGCCTATCTTAGATTTTCTTAGTTATGATAATACCCAGAAGGGTTTAAAGTCTGTCAGTACTTATGATTTTTCAACTTTATATACATCTATTCCTCATATTCAATTGAAGGATAATCTTCGTATGTTTGTAGAAAGAGTATTTGATTTTAAAGATAAGTCTTATATTATTCCTAATCTTTATACTAAGAAGGCCTATTTCTCTGATAATGTTAGTAAAAATAAAGTTCATTTTTCTAAAGATACACATTTGGAATGTCTAAATTATTTGATTGATAATTCTTATGTTACTTATCAGGGTCAAATTTATAGACAAGTTATTGGAATACCAATGGGTACCAATGCAGCACCACAAATAGCTAATGTTTATTTACATGTTTACGAATATAAATATATTAAACTTTTGATAGAACAAGGGGATACAGAAAATCTAAAAAGATTAAAAGACACATTTCGTTATCAAGATGATTTGATAGTTTTTAATGATTTCAATTTATTACAGAATGTATTAGAAGATATTTATCCTAAGGAAATGATAGTAAATAATACTAATATTTCGGCTCGTAAATGTTGCTATCTAGACTTAAACATTAGTATTTATCAAGGAAAGTTTAGAGTGACGTTATATGATAAAAGAAAAGATTATAATTTTAAAGTTATATCTTATCCTTTTTTGGATGGAAACGTTCCAAATAATTTGTCTTATGGAATATTTATTTCTCAATTAGTACGATTAGCCAGAATTAATTCGACACTTAAGGGTTTCAAAAATTGTGTTACCGAACTTTTAGGTAAATTGGTTGCGCAAGGATTTAAGTTAGCTGCTTTGCGCAACAAGTTTGTCAAGTTTTATAAATCAAGATTAAATATTTGGGGTAAATATGGTAGTGATATTTATGATGAATTTATTGAAATGTTTCAATCACCTAATATTATTTTGTAATTTGTATCGACATATATCGTTTTTCAGTTATATAAGTTACCTAATATCTATTAATTATTCTAGTATTTGTGATTAATTTGTATTGATTTATTATTTGTGACTTATAAATTAGTAACCATTATTTTACCGTCTAAAAAATTTTTTTGTCAAAAATTAATTTTATGAAGGAGTAAGTTGACAAAAGATGCGCATTCGTATATTCATTTATTGCATGTTTAATTTGTTTTTTGTGTTTAATTTACGATTATTTGCATTTGAGATTCTGCGATTAAATTTATTTTGTTGATTGTAATGTTATGATATTGCATAATTTATTGTAAATGTAATATATGTTTCAGAAAATTATGTAATGTAACGTGATGGAGGTTCTTTAAGCGGGAAATTCCAGTCCAAACCCTGGAAACATGACATAAAGGATTTGTTTTACTTGTTGCATGAAAAGCACTAATACAACGCGATTTTTTTTTTTTAAAGAGAGGCTGGGCCAAGATAGCCCACGAGAGGATAGCATTGAGACGCTCTGCCTACCTCTGGGGTGTGGCAACCTTGGGGAAGGTTGCCGGTGAAATCAGAGTGATTGGTGGAGGATGGTGTAAGATGATATATGAGTCAAAATGATACGCTTAAATGCCAGCTGGGTTTGGAAAAGTAAAACGAGACGAGACAGCATATGAGCTAATACTTTAAGTCACCCCGGTCTGATCCAGCTCTTCCGGCACAATTAAGCGTTTGGTGCGGTTTGCGAAATTGACAATTGTGGTGATGTGTTGGTTGTCGAATATGTCATTGACAGAGAGGTAGTAGTCCTGGAAATATTGACCTCTAATTTGGGCAATAGCTGGACACTGTCCAAGGAAGTGTGAGACAGTTTCCTCTCCGTCGCCGCACATAGGACAAGCACTGGTGTTTGATTTGCAAATGGTGTGAAGGTGTTTGTTTAAGCCGCAGTGACCCGTGATGAGGTGAACTGCAGTTCTGTAATCTTGTCTATTTTGCTGAGTGTAGTGTTGAGGTTTTTGATGATTTTGGCATGCTTGTGGCCGAGTGTCAGTTTGGTGTGTCTGGGACCGTCAGTTAACCAAGTTTCCTGATTCAGTCTGTTGACTTTGTTGTCGATTTGACGCTTGATGTAGGATTGTGGAATTGGACACTTCAAAGTGGATTCACTGGTTGTACCAAGCTTGGCCAGCTCATCTGCTTTTTCGTTCCCCCACAATCCGATGTGTGCTGCAATCCATCGTATCTCTAGCGTGTTGTTGGATCCGAGTGCATTAGGAGAGTCGTAACAGTCTCTTGTAGTTCTACTTCGCGTCGAAAGCGCAGAGATAGCTTGTATAGATGAGAGACTGTCAGACCATATGATGATATGTGTGTTGGTATAGGTAGAGAGATATTTGCAAGCTTCAATGATGGCGGTGAGCTCTGTTTGGTAAACAGTGCAATAATCAGGGAGCTTGAATGATCTTTCTTCAAGGGTGGTGTTATTGTTGTTAGTTGTGATGATATAGCCAGCCCCGCATCCTGAGTCTGTGAGTGACCCGTCAGTGTAGCAGGTGATCGTTTCACTGGTAATGTTGTCGATGGTGTTTTGAAGTGAATTTCTATATTCAGTGGTATCGGCTCCAGGAGTTGTGACGGTAAAGTGCCGTCCCAGCATCATGGTTGGTGTTGTTAGGTCTCTCGTTGCTCTAGGTGGGATAATGAGGTCTGCCATGAATTGTTTGTTGATAGTGGTATGATTTTTGATAGTTCCCTTCCTGAAAGCGATAGTTTCAAGAGTGAGGCTGCCATAAGCTTGTAGCCTGGCCGCACCCTTTGCTGCTTCGCCTTGCAGGAACAGTATGATGTCAAAAGTGTCGGTGAGGTGATTCAATGCGATAAAAGGTGTGCTTGGCATGGCACCAGACATCATTCTGAGTGCCAATGCCTGAACACGTTTGAGTTTCTTCGCGTTATAGTCCGTTTGAGTGGCCCTGATCCATATACTACAGCAGTAGGATAGGATTGGACGGATGACAGCCGCGTACATCCATTTGCATGTTTTGGGGCTCATACCCCATGTGGGGCCGACAGCTCTTCGACATTGCATGAGGGATGCCGTGGCTTTTTTGGTGGTGTTGATGATATGTTCATTGAAGTTGAGTTTGCTGTCCAAGGTCACTCCTAGAAATTTAGCAGACTTGGAAAGACCTATAATGTTGTTGCCAACTGTTATAGGTCTTAGAGTCCACTTACTATTCCAGGTAAACATGACTATCTGAGTTTTAAGGGCGCTAATAGATAGCTCTTTGGTTCTGCACCAATTTTCTATCGTTTTAATACAACGCGATGCTCAACGCGATGCTCAACCGTTTGCTGTTTATTGAGCTAATACAGTTATTAGAGATGCTCAGATATTTGTTTAATATAAAGAACTGGTGCAACACGATTACGAGCTTTTTGATTATTATACAACTCGCCCAAATTTCAACTCCTATGCTGTGCAGCAGATTTATCCAGCATGAAGATTGGTTAGCTCTTGGTAAATTCGGTGGGTATTTCCCTCCGATGGCAAGTGCCTCAAAAACCAGTACCTAATCACGGGACTGAGACGGGATTCTATGTTACCTTAGACGGAATTCCATTTCCATGATGCTCTCGACTTTCAATCGAAAATAGGTTACTGCTCCTGTCTGCGACAATTAGTGGACAGTGGTTTAGTCGACATATTTTTTACTGACAAGTCGCTGCACAATTCAGGGATCATTGTTTTTCAAGATTACTTCTGAACGAATGGCATAGGCCCGACATCCGTGATTGGAGCTCCGCGAGGACCTTGGTCGTGATCAGCTCTGGACTGGTTCAGTTTATCCTGATGTACCTCAAGTCCTCAAATTGTGAAATAACATGTTCATTTTCGGCGGAAAGGAGTCGAACAGTAAACTACCAAATCATTTAAAATTCTCTTAAATGCTTTGAGTCATAAACATTAAACCACCACCCTCAGCGTTCAGTTCACTATTGGAGCTCTCTGCAGAACTGCAGACTCTCTAGTATCTACAGCAGAGGTGTTGTCAATCCAATCAATCCCTGTCCTTGATTAATGAGTTAATTTTACTATGGGAATCCCAGATAATTTCACAATCGACCCATTGCTAATTGCGAGTTGATCGAACTTTACGCATTTATATAGTTTTAATCTCCCGAAATCTTAAAGCTTAATCTTCTAACCGTAAGCTTAAATTAATCAGAAGATTTGTGATTGGATGGCTCTAAAATGCCGTAAGTATTAGAAATAAAAAGTAATTTTCATTATATAAAACAGATTAAACGGATTAAACGATTCAAAAAGTTTATTGCGCCAGATATATACATATCATATAGGCGCAAACATTTTTTGGCGTCGTACTTTTGGAACGGTATTTTCAATTTTAGTTTCTTGTGTATGTTTGGTCTTTTGCAGGGGCATGATATTTCGGGGTGGGTACCCACTGACAAACATTTTACCTGTGTAGCTTTGAGAGCGTCGTACCAGAGGGACACATAACTCCGGTCCTTTTCCCGGAAGAGGAAGGTCCGAGTATCAGTCCTAATCCGGAGGTAGAAATAGTCGTCTGAGTTCCGGTCATCATCTGAGGAGGTAGAAGTGTCAGGAACAGTCTGATATACAAAAGAGGCTCCTGCTAGTATCATTGCCTCTTTCTAAAAAGTTTGTCTTATATTTCTTGTTTTGTTGACGCTCGAATTGTTATTTTTTGTACCCCAAGGTGGGTCAAACTATTTTCTATATCTTGTCGCTCAAATCAAACCAGATTTTTATAGGCTAAGAATCTTTATCGTGGTATCTACTATCTATCCTGTATTTTAACCCCGAATTTTCTGGTTCAATCTAAGTTTGCACTACATCGAGCATCATTGAGCATCATTGAGCAACATTTGAATATTTGTTCAATGTTGGAAGATTTGACAATTTTGAGTATTTCTCTCGCATTGGAATGTCGTTTTATATTGCGGTGGAGCAGCTCGATATTTCCAATAATCTTGTCAGACCGAAAAGATGCGACATAAGTCAATAAGAGTAGCTATAAGGTGCCACTTTACCTGCAAGTCTTAATATTTGAACTGTAGTTTAAGTTGTAGATTTACTGACAGATCTCTCTGACAGAGAGATCTGTCAGTAAATCTACAACTCTCTGTCTCTCGAGAAACTGTTGAATTAAGATTTGCTTGTATTTAACCGTTGTGGTAGAGCACCTAAAAGACGTGTGCTCGTGTCTTATTTAAAGTTAATGAAGCGATTATCAAGTTTAATGATTGTTTAATCTAGAGATATTACCTATCGGTCCAGAATCCATATCACATGATCGCGTGCACTAGACACTATGTTTACAGTATCAATCATGTCTAAACCACGTGACCAGTGACCACGTGTCCAGGTAATATGTGGTATCCAATCAAATCGTAGGATCAACAGGAGAGGTAAAATTATAACCGTTAAAGTCCATAGATTGCACAGGTTCCCAGGTTACGTATGCACTGTGCACGTCACGTTTTCATGGAACGGTTGTAGGTACCAATTTCAACGTTTTCGAGTCACATAAATGCGTGAATCAATCACGCATTGCGTAATATCCAATCAGAGTGCAGTATATAATCAGTTGATGAAGGATAAACTGCTGTCTCCGACTATTTGTCGGATAGCGACATTTCTAAAGTGTTTAGATCTTATAAATGTCGCTCTTCGACAAATATTCACTTGGATTTTGCGTGCCAAATTCTAAATTTAAATTTTTTTTAAAAATTTGGCGGCCAAATTCTAAATTTAGCAGTGCAAATTTTGGAATTTGGCCGCCAAATTTTTATAAAGGCCTAACTCAAAATTCTGTCCCAAAACTTAAGGTCATGAGACAATTCTACGTTGATTCTGAAAATTTCATGAAAAAATATTGAAACCCTATTGAGTTCTATTGTTTTGAGCGAAGTCAGTTTTGCAAATATCGCGAACTGAGATATAGGCAATTTTGTTCATTTTTTGCGATTATTTGAACATAGAATCCACAATTAGGTAGATACTGAGCTGATAATCATAGATAATGTGTAGTATAGGCTTACCTTCCATATAAAGTTGGTATCATTCAAAAATATTGATATTAGACCAATTTATGGGCCAAAATCGATCAAATTTGGCGCGTATGCCCAAATATGGTCATATGGTTTTTTGCTCATAACTCAGTCATTTTTTTTCCAATCTTGATGAAAATTCATATACGAGTTCAGGGAATCACTAGCTACAAGTAGAGCACCTAAAATCTGGATTTTGGGCATGTTCAGGGTATTTGGCTAAATTGGGCCTAATTTGGACCAAATATGGGCGTGGCTGCCCCGCGGGCACCGTTTGGCGGTTGGGGTCCGGGACCCCCTCAAAAGTTCGGTCACTGGTCCTAGTTTGTTGGTCAACTGCTATCTCGAAACCAAGTTTCACAAAAAAATCAGGGTGAACCCCCCCCCCCCCCCCCCCCCCCCCCCCCTTAAAAGATCCAGAAATACATATTCACAGAATATCATATTTTTCATTTAGATTACAGTATCTGTATTACAGACGGATTTACTATCTTTAAGGTGACAATCCCACTTCTGCTGAACTACGAAATCATCATAAGCTGACAAGGCTCAGGTCATGGTCAACTGTTACAGTTTTTAATCGTACGATAATATTTTCACTTCGGTCGTCTAAAGTAGTTACGAGGTATCCAGCTCTTTAAGTAGGACGGTAAACTCATGGCAGTCCGTCACTGGGACGCTACCTTTTAATTGCTTTACAGACTGTACGGTCCCCACACTTATTAACGATGATAAGTACGCAGATCTAACAGATCATGATACATATTTATTTAAACACGTGACAAGGATTCTGGGTGTTGATAGGTCGATTGCTAGAAGCTAATCGGTTAATCAGTGCCACCTGCCAGATATAATATGGTTCACGTCCCCAGATCTACTAGATCTATTATTTATCACGGGTAATAATATAAGCGTGGGAAAGATCCGTTTTATATCTATGCTTTGCCATGAGATTTTGTATCAACCGTTAACGTGAGATTCGGATGTTCTGTTGACAATTGTATTATTTGGATTATAAAGTACATTTTTTTCTATCAGAACTATAATAATCAATAGGTTTTTCAATTTACTCCAGACCGTGCCCGACCTGATTTATGGATTCCTATTGTCATTGAATGTGCAACCACAAATTCCCCAGAAGCCATTAATGGAATTTATGCTTGAAACATTGCATCTTGACGTAGTTTCAACAGTATTCTGTACTACTTTTACTGTAAGCATCATCGCAGGTTGTCACCTTAAATTGATTGAAATAAAGTCAATTTTATATTTCAAGTTGATCCTTGATATTTATACAGTATATTTTCGCTTTAACATGCACAGTATGGCGGTTGTATAGCACAAATCGTGCTATAAATTTTATTTTTATCAATACAACGATGAAATCTTGCAATTTCTTGGAACTCTGTAGACTATTGTAAGATCATGACATTAAATTTAAATTAACCGTCGTTCTATTCACGTGTCGTCTGTCTACCAGCAAATTTTGGAAGAGCTCGCAAAATATGCTTTTAAAGGTTAGTATGAGGCGGACACGTTTAAAATTAAATTAGCATTTACTGGTGAGCAGACGGACACGAATCAGTGATCCTTCAAAATCTAACTAAATCACGATAAGATCGAGTTTATACTTACGTATAAAGTCATATCTATATTCCTTCAGAGAAATTGTCATATCTGTATCCCTTTAAATATGATGTGCGTCAGACGACAGAAATATAGTCAACATAAATGCTAATATAACTGCTTAATTTCTTCCTTAATCCTTAGCTGACAAACATGCTCGACAGTTTCAGATAAAGCCCAACTCAAGTTCGTTTCTCGTGTCAGTGGCCAATATTATTGACCAATACCAAGGTAACATCAATTAACCTGTAAAGCAAGTATAACTGGTGCACCGATGGATCGTAAATACAAACTGCACTACTTCTCCAAAATGCTTTAGCTGACAGACATGTTCGACAAATCAGTTAGCAGTGGTACTTATAATATAATGTAACTTAAGTAGTCGCAGAATGATTCCTGTTTTGATTACTTACAGAAAGTGCAAGACTGCTTGCAGTGAGTTGGAGGGTTATGATATACAATACGCAATATCAGCAGTTCAGCTCTTACAGTACAAATGGTGAATAACTACCACCCAAATGAACCAGTACTATTATATACTATAATACTGTAATCAGTAGTCAACTGTCAATGACTAGACAGGGTTATTGAAAATTACAAAGTAAGTAAACTTTACCACTTGATAACTTAAGGTCCACAACTCTTTATTGTAGTTATAAAACCATTCGCTATAATTTACAGTTGGATAGTACACAATTGGACAGTACTTGCTTAATAGAGAATATTAACGTTATATTTGGTTGGCTAAGTATTAGAAAGGCGGGTTATTTATAGCAAGCGTATTTATAAATGAGTTCATTGACAAATCTTTCCACAGCTTGAAGGAGAGCAGTCTTTTAATTTTACATCAAAAACCAATATTGTAGTCTAAGTGTCAAGAGACAAATTTAATGTGGGCAAAATGTGGGCTTTTAACCACTATAATAACCACGTGACCCTGACTGATGGACACAGAAACCTTTTATACTTTAATTTATCTTTTATTGAAACCTCTCCGGTATCAGAAGTTTTAATATTTATTATTTCGCTATTCATTTATCACGTCAGTCGATCCACGCTCAATGATACGATCACTGTAATGTAATCTCGGTAATGCAGCCATCCTAAAGGTGAACTATTTCTGACACGTGACAGAGATTAACGTCAACCATTGACTAATCAACACGCAGAATCACTGTCACGTGTTGTCAAAACTGAAATGATCCACCTCCCAACAAATATTGAGTGAACATTAAACAGTGACCACTTTTGAGGGTGTTGCAAGTTGTTCAGATGGCAGATGTTCACATAAACAGATGTTCCAACTGTGTGGAAGTGAGAGGTTGGTACTTGGCATGACGCCATACACACGTTTAAGGAACAATAACCACTTAAACACTTAAAGCATACAGTTCAGACTTCAGTGGTACATGCCTGAACTTGTGAGTTGTGTGATACCGATGTTGGTTTATTATAGCAGTACGTGCTATATTTAGCGGTTCAAAGATTACTGCTCGCTATTTGTCTGGTACCAAATCTGTGCAATTTTGACCTATAATATGGTAATTTTTGCTTTGTTTACCTATTTAGGCTGCAGCTCGTTATTCAAATTACCTACCCGCCCTTTAATTTCAAATTTACCAGACATAACGTTTCTTACCAGACATCACCATTTTTATTTTGCACAGCTTTTAACAGCACGAGTATACTTTTGCTTACTTCTTATAAAGGCAGTAAATGCTTGTAACTGCAGGAAGAGCCTCTTGCTGTCCAGTGTTATTTAATCTAAACTGTTCCTGACGCAGCTAGTACTAGACGATATAAGATTAAGAACATTTGAAATTCCAATTTCCTTGCAAATTTAGATATGTTTATTCTAACGCCACCCACGTTAACTGTCAAGGAAATAAACTTCAATTTGTAAGTCAAAATTAACCGCAGCCTGTTTACAACAACCACCAAGTGTATACGGTCCGCAGCCTGTTTACAACAACCACCAAGTGTATACGGTCCGCAGCCTGTTTACAACAACCACCAAGTGTATACGGTCCGCAGCCTGTTTACAACAACCACCAAGTGTATACGGTCCGCAGCCTGTTTACAACAACCACCAAGTGTATACGCAGCCTGTTTACAACAACCACCAAGTGTATACGCAGCCTGTTTACAACAACCACCAAGTGTATACGGTCCGCAGCCTGTTTACAACAACCACCAAGTGTATACGGTCCGCAGCCTGTTTACAACAACCACCAAGTGTATACGGTCGACACCGCAGCATGTTTACAACAACCACCAAGTGTATACGCAGCCTCTTTACAACAACCACCAAGTGTATACGGTCCGCAGCCTGTTTACACCAACCACCAAGTGTATACGGTCCGCAGCCTGTTTACACCAACCACCAAGTGTATACGGTCGACATGACCGGGTATCAACTGCTTTATCCCCAACCATTTATTGGTACGGTGGCTCCCACCACAGCTCTTTAATAATTAAACGTCTCAAGTTTAAACGCGCCAGACGCGCCAAATATCGGTAATTAAACCTCTCTGTCAGGAGACCTATAAAGTCCGGTAAATCCGGTGTGGTGCTCAGAGTTACAACTACTCACTGACCAGGTTGTTCGGCCTCCGCCAGCTCCACCTCCACTAGCTTGTGCATGTCTATCTCGTTTTTGAAGCTGTCGTGGTCGTCGTAGTACTTCAGGACCTTCCCGCTTAGCACGCATTTCCGTTTTTTGTAGGATTGTATGGCGTTTGGTCCCTTTTTCTCCAGAATACCCTCTAAGTCCACTGGAACGTCCTGAAACAAATCGGACGTTAAGTTCGTGAACATTTATCCTTTAGGGTGCTTACTGATTTTTTTTGACAGTTAGATTGGAATTTGTCCAGTTGGCCTGATTATAGCTCTTGGGAATGTTCCAGAATACAGATCAGTAATACTTGAGAATTATATAATACTAGATCCTGTCTGTGGATTTAGAAGTAGAACGGTACTAAAGTGGGTATGAAGGGCTTGAGGTCGGTACATTTACGAAATTCGTGATTAGACATGCGACTACTTTCCTCATTATTGGTTATTTTTTGACAGTTAGATTGGATTTCGTCTTGCAAGAATAATTGACTCTTTGAGGGGCGTTGTAGAATATTGACCAGTAAGATTAGAGAAACACCAGATCCTGTCTATGGTTTGTACCTTAGTGCAGTGCAGGTATATTTAAAGGAACCATATGCGAAATTTATTATCAGACTGATTCAACCCGGTAACACGCGTAAATGATAGTCACCCATGAATTTTATATCAATATCATGGTTGAGCAATGAGCATCTCCCATTTCGATGATCAGCAACAGATTTTAGGTATTTTTATAAGATCCAACTTACCTGTTCGACAATTTTTTTGTTGCAAAGCGAGCTATAAATTTATTCGAGCTTTTCGTTTGGAATTAAAACAAGTCCTTCGTATTATGGGTGTGGACTAGCTACACCTGGTTAAAGCACTTCCATCCCATTATAGCATTATGTTATGAAATCACAACTACCTCAACAATTACTCAAAGTTTTATGACGACAGTGAGCTTGACAGTTATCTATTTAAAATTTGATTGCACCCTTAAAAATAATCAAAATTTTAATGAGGACTGGCTGATTTGCAGTTAAATAATCCTCGAATTGGTGGTTAACTTGGTGAGCCAAAAATTTACAATCTCCATTTTAGGATACTAAAGTAATCGTGACGTCAATACACTGTTAAGCATTAATATAAAATGCCAACTTCCATGGAACTGGCCAGTATAGGAAAGTAGGAAGTTTGTCAGTTACCGAATCTGCAGGTTCGTTGTTTTCTTGAGGAAGCACAGGGTCGGCGTCATTCAGTAGAAGCAGCTGTGCTTGTGCTTTCTGCCCACTGGCCAGGGCCATCAAATATGGCGTTCGCCTGTGGGTAAAAAATCGTTAGATATTTCAAATACCGGGCCAACATATTTATATTAAATCATATACTGGGTAAAATCACATCAAATTGAAGTTGTCCTGAGAATTTGTTGAATTAAAAATTGAGCCCGAAGAAGGTTTGATTATTACATGATCTCGTATCTTGAACGATTAGTGAACAAACCTGGAATGATCGAGCGTTTCGTCGATAAACTTAACGTCAGCACCACTCATGAGAAGGGCCAGGGTCCGGTCTAATTGATCTGTCTGTACCACCTGATAGGAATAAGGAAATGGTTAATTCTTCAATTAATTAATTAGCAGGGTTAAGGGAGGTCGGATTCATTAACTCGACAAAAATATTATGATCCCGGGAAATGCTCTTTTTCCGGAAGATAACTTATAGTTCATTGTACATTTTCTATTGCCAAGCAGACAACAGTTCTTGCATAATAATAATATTCATTGCCAGATTCAATTATTTGAAGTTTTTTGTCCTGAATTTGACTGGTTTTAAACTTCTATGAAAAGTTTGAAGTTTTTTGTCCTGAATTTAACTGGTTTTAAACTTCTATGAAAAGACAAAAGGACGATTCAATTCGATTTTGAGCACGTGGAATTTTGTTTGCGACATTTTGTTTGTGAAATCTTGTGACTGTTGAAAATAAAATAAAGTCAGTTAAGGACATGGACAGGTGATGTTTTGATCTGAAATCGCTTGAGATTCGTCTACAGATTGTGTATTCAGCTGTGTTGGCGCTGCTCTCAAAGTCTCAGCTTGTGAGAAACATTCTATTTTTTTGTGATTTGATTGTTTTGTGGGTAAAATGATTTGACATTTTGAGAGGAGCTAAATTCCTTTTTTGGACATTTTGATTTTCTTTGAAATAGAACATAGGGTAATCGATATCCTTTTACTATTCACCTATTTTAACTATTTCAACTATTTCAACTATTTCAACTATTTCAACTATTCTACCAGAGCGTTGGTTCTCGCAAATTTACAATTATTCCCAATAATTCGCGGAGGAACTTAAAACGGTTTAGGGATGGGCGGTAGTTTACGGTTTAATCAAATACGATTCTTAAATATCTCGTTTAATATCATTAACCCTAGTGGTGAATAATCTGCTTCGTAGTGAACAATTTTCAGAAGCTAATATAACAGGGAATTTTAGTTGTCGAATCGGAATAGTTTGGTATCCGTCATTAAAATTTATTTGAATATTCATGGTTGATTGAAGCAGATATTTCAGTATTCGAACTGGGCACTGCTTTGATTCTGCTGTTTCAATTGGCATTCGCACTTTGCACAACTGATCAGCTAATTATTCGGGTCATCTTAAACTCCACAGTATCGTTTGTCAAGGGTCTAATTCATTATTTATTCACAAAGCCATTGGCCATTAGGGATTGATTTGAAACACTCATCAAAATATTATAGTGATTGATAACAATATTGAAACATTTAATGCAATCGTGGCCGGAAAGTTTGTTTGGGCTTCAAAAATTTTTAGATTAGTCTAGTCAAAGGCAAAACCTAAGTTAAGGTTAGACTGAAGTCACTAGTTTCATTGCTACTCGACTAGTCTTGAAGTTGAATTGTAATTTAATATTTAGTGTACTAATTACCTTCATTGTATAACACCTTGAATTATGATATACTTGAAATTTGTCACTATCAAGTTTTGACTTGTCAGTATTGCTCAGTATATTAGTAGTGCTCATTTCATAATTCAGTATTACTATTTGACATTATCGACGTTAAATATTTCTACTTTGGCAAATGCAGAGTTATTTCTAGCATCTTCGGCATTACCGACAGTTTGACAAGCAAATTTAGCAATTTCAAACACGACCCCTATTTTTAGATTCCTGCACTAATTTGGAGTGCTAATGAGTTCCATAAATTTTAAGTCCGGACTCTCTCATCTTGCGCTTGCGTGCTAAATATTAACCAGTTACCAAAGTTGTGGAATTACCAAGTTCGCCTAATTGTAATTAATCTTGGAACGTTGACTCCCGAACGACAATTAGCTGCTTTGATAATGATATTATCATCTGAAACTGTCCAATTTTTCGTTCTCCAGACTTGCAAGTTTGCAGGTTTAAGCTTGGAGCGTTGACGCAAAACTCCCTGAACGACAACTAGCTGCTTTGATAGCTTCCAAAACTGTCCACTTTTTGTTAACCAGACATCAAACGTAGAGGCAATATCTTTAACCAAGTCCGTTCTAATTCTGATGGTTTCGCAATGATTTTACTGTAAGAATATCCAGTTGCAAGGTTTTCAAAACGTAGGAATCTGACATCTGTAATATTGACATCCCGTTAGTATAAATCCCGTTAGTATATATATATATATATTATATATATATATACCGTTATTACATATAGCTGCTCGTTATAACTTTAAAGTGCAAACGCTAAAAAATAATGCATAATTTGATTAAATAGTTTCCTCAGTAAACTGCAGTAAACCTCCCATTTACCGAGACTTTTAACAGGGCGCAAATCTTCTTGGTAAATACTAAATAGAGGTTATTAGCAAATGGAGATTTCCATTTAACCTTTACTTGTACATGGAACTGCTGGTAAAGCCGGATCTACGGTAACTTGGTATTTAACTGTGTTGCCGATCCCTGTAACTGTAACTTCGTGATAGCCTCACTAATTACTTGCTCTTCTCAACCCAGTTCCAATACTCGTTCCTCAACAAGTCACTTAAGTTGAGCATTGTTATTGAAGTATGAGTTAGATTCTGCCATTCTCGAGTAGTTTTTTAAAAAAACCCTTGCTGCATATCACAGAATTCAGGTATAGTATTGGTAAATGATGGCTCCCTTAACTACTGCGATTTATGTGCAATTTCTAGCTCGGAACCCAAGTAAGTAAGATGGTTATAGACGTGTTGGGACTGTATTATACGCGTCACAGAAAGTGCCATCATAGTTCGTGGTGATTTCCCGTTACTTTTAAATTTAATCCCAGATTAATCTGGTCTGTTTGACAGAATAAAGTTTTGATTGCATATTTGCTCGCTTTTAATGTTATAAGGTACTATCAAAACGCACTATGGCAACTGCTACCCCCTTTCTTTGTGAGCACCCACTCTACCGGCTCAGATACTGCCATCCCTTTTAAAGCACTTAACTAAACGACACGTTGATCGTCAAGCCTAAATAATACTCCAGTCCACTTTGACCAAATGGATACATGAACATTTAGTGGGTTCTTTGTATTGAATTGCAATGGATCCTATTGGAGGGTTATAATGATCCTGCTAAAAGACTGTGTGCTATCAAATTGTTGGTCTAATTTGTTATATATATTTTGTCTGCAATAAATTTCGTCGTCAAATTTTTAATGTGAATACTGATCGTTATAATTGAATTAATACTATTTCAGAATATGAGTATGACGTAGAAATGTCGATACGTTATTCAGCTATTTATTTCCATTAGAATCTGTCTTCACTGAGTCTATTCATAAACAATCAGAAATCTGATTGAAAGAACTATCTAATTTGTTTATAATTCAATTATTTGCAATACTATTAATTCGCGGAGCAACTTAAAACGGTTTAAGGGATGGGCGGTAGTTTACGGTTTAATCAAATACGATTCTTAGATATCTCGGTTATGTTATTATTGCTGGTCTAATTTGTTTATGGTCACAAGTATTTTGGTTTGATCGGGTTTGCGAGCAAAATTGCTGCATCTCGAATCCGATAGGGGGATCAGAAAATTAAGTTATCTTAATAATCTGAAATATATACTACTGTAATATTACATTGTCTCTATAAATGCCCATCCTTCTCCTCCCCTCCCAACAAAGAGCTGTCGGAGATCAGTGCAATTTTAATAGTCGGACTGGATATCAAATTTGAAGTTTGACTTTGCATAAATTACTTATACAGTCACGTCTTGATTGCCAATTTATCATAGAGCATCAATTTGACATTTCTTTGCAAGGTGCCACGATAGTTTTTTTTAATTTATTGAATTCAGTTCTTTGGACTATAGTCTTAAAATCTAAATTCTATTAACTAGATTTCCCTTAACCTGGGGCGTTGTCTATTGTCTCCAGATTCGCCGCCGATCACGAATTATATAATCCCGTAACTTTCTGTTTTTTTTTTCACATAAAAATGCTGGAAATATATTATGGCGAATTTGTGCAAATCCGCAACCGCCTAGGGACTAAGTAGTACTTCAATTTTTTCAGCACACAAATTAGATCACATAAGCACAAAGTGAGAAGTTTCCAGTTCATTTCACGACAAGTAGTTTTATCACCGTTAACTAATTCACTATTTCTAGATGATAGATCAAGATACCTCCCGGAAGATAGACCTGACAGTTGCGTCTTTACTGGTGATAATATCAGCGCTGGGTTTCCTTCTCAACCTCCTCAGCTTCCTCTACTTCAAGAACAAGAAGCCGAGAAACAGAACCAGCAACTTCTTCAGGAGAGTCTACCTAGCCATCACCCTCACAGATACCCTCATCTGTCTGGTCCTCTTCCCGGTGATAGACGCGGCGTTCTCCCCCCATCGGGCTGGACGCCTCTTCCACAGCACCTTCTTCTGTGAGGTTTGGACTGTGATATGGTGGATCCTGCCCCAGACCTCGGTGCTGCTAGTGGGCCTGCTCAGTGTGTCCCGACTGATAGTGTTATGGAGACCTGGAGCCAGGCTGCCTGCTTGGCTCCCCTACGCGCTGCCTGGAGGGTTCGTGGTGAGTATAGTGGTGGTGTATGTGGGTGGAGTGCTGGTGGGTGCTATGTTCCCCCAGTACATCTCTGAGTGGATGTATTGTGCTGTACTGCCCGTACCACTAGAAGGGGAAGCTAGGTTGGTGTCTGAGCTAGAATGGAACAGTGGAGTGTTTCTCTTCACGGTGGCTAGTCTAGCTCCAGCTCTGTCCCTCCTCCTCATATCTGCCTCTTTTGTTACCTCCCTCATTGTACTGAGGAAGCAAACCGCAAACGCACTCAATCTCGGCGGCTCAATTAAGAAGCACAAGGAGGCAACAAAAACAGTCTTCATCATAACATTCCTGTACATCATATTCAACATTCCCAGTACTATCGTCCTCCTGGGAATCATCGGAAAAATAGCCGCCACTCTAAATTTTAGACACATTTACATCGAAGAGTACATCCGGCAGTTCATCAGAAGTTCTGGAAAGGACACGACTCTTAGTAGCTACATCTTCGTTCTGGTGAGCATGTTGCCCATCAGTCTGAATAGCCTGATAAACCCAGCTGTTTATTTCAGTAGAATGGGAGCCTTCGGTCGGTATTTTAAAAGACATTTCAGAAGATATTTCGGGCAGATGGGGGAGGCCGGGGAGGGTGCTAGATCGAGTAACACCAGAAGTTCCTTGGTAGCTAGAAATTTGAACAGTACCGTTTTGAAGGGAATTGCTATTGAGTCACCGGAACCGGTATCAAGGACTATTATTGAGGAATGAGAACTGGGGTTTGGTTTTAAATTGCTATTGAGTCACCAGAACCGGTATCAAGGACTATTATTGAGGAATGAGAACTGGGGTTTGGTTTTAAATTCGGGGAAATATTGAGATTTGTTAACTGGGGTTTAATTGTTGAGGAGTTATTGAATACTGACGCTTGAGAAGTTTATTACGATTTAAAGTCGTTACTGAGACTGAAACGATACAAGAATACTGAGATTTTCAGATTTGAACTTGAAGTCAATGATTGTCTCTGAAACAAGTTATCGCTATATATTTATCACGAACTAATACATTTTTCAGATAAGGGTTAACAATTTAATATTTTATGTAATTGCTATTTTTTTTGTTAGGTGTACACGTGTACATTGGAGTGACCCTCTCAATATAAATCAGTACACAAATATTGCTGTATTTCAAATTTTTATTGTTCAGTTTTGTGCTTTCGCCTTTAAAGTCTGAATTTTCTCTGTTATTTTCATATGTTCAATAATGTGTTTTGTGTACAGATGAAACCTACCAAAGAAATTCCGTGATGAAAAAGGTTAGATCTTATAACTTTATCAAAATATTCTCTAAAATCAAAAAATTTCTCGCAGATTATCTGCCGGTCTGCCGCCTTTCTGGATGTGGGAATTAACCACTAGATTATTTTATACTTCCTAAAAAACAATTAAGCTTGTTGCTAATGAACAATTTTCGCTTTACAATAACAACAATTTTCTAACTTTACCTCCATGAGCTCCAGATTGAGTTCCTCTACAGGGGACGTTATGACGTCACTCCAGCAGCCTCTCGTGTACTTCTCCTCTATAAACGCTTCCCTAACTTTCCTGAAACAAGTTACTTTAGATGAGGAGCTGTGATATGTATGACTTAGTTTTAGACTGGTACTATTAGGATTATACTAGGAGTTGTGCTACATCAATTATCGTGAAACTGCACCAGATAATATGTCACGATCCCTTGCTTTTCTGGAGAAAAGAGTTGTGACATAGATATAAACTATACTATTGAGCAACTTCGACAGGTTGGTTGATAGCATGGTTTGTGTCGTATATTATTGAGAAATCATAATAGGCTAGACTACGGAGAAACTGCAGCCATTGAGCAACTGCGACAGATAATCCGTCACAATCAGCGCTAGAATGTCAATATAAAAGTACTCTATGCGATCTTGATGTAAAACTAAACAGACCATGTAAGTGACTATTGTATTGTTCTTTGCGTTACCACTACCAGTAACAAATATTAGAATAAACTCTTGTATAATATTTTGCGAAGTATCCTCAACCATAGGCAAGTTTATATGCACTACAAAATGCGAGTGGAACATACCAGGAACATACCAGGAACATACCAGGAACATACCAGGAACATACCAGGAACATATCAGGAACGTAGCGAACCAGAAACCCTATCAGAACTTGACAGTAACCTGGCAGAAACCCATGAGAAATTTATTTAGATGGTACTGGATTACCTTTCTGTCATCGATTGGTGTATATGTCCAAATACTTAGTAAAATATGCGAAATAAAGGTTACAGCGCAGTTCTAAGAACTCTTTTTTTTGGAAGGTTTTCTCTCTAACAGGAAGCTGAGAGAGTTATTTTAGGCACTGTTAACTCTATGTGAACTGCAAGCATCTGTTACAGCTTATCAGTCTCTCAAGGTGTTATTCCACTTATTTGAGAATGTTTTAAGTTAGACAAAATTTACAAGTAACAATTTAGGGATTCAACTAACTAGCAGGAACCCGTCTAACCCTAAAATGGTGTCAAGACTCAAGAGACTAAAACAATTATTACCTATTTAATTCGCGTTTTTGACACCACTTGGGATACCAAATTTTGGGCTCTAAAACTCTTATTTCTTGGCCAATTTTTTATTTTTTCATGCTGATTTGGAGGCCATTAAAGCATTTGACCCAGTCAAAAAAGATTCAGTTGTATATCTTTGACGGTTTTTGCAGAAATTCGCGTTAAAGTTGATGCCGTGGTGTCAGTAAAATGGCACAGATAAATATATATATATATATATTTATCGTCTCGCTTTATATATAGTAAGATGTATGGTCGCTTCAGAGCAACCCTAAGAATGATTGAAATATCAGTTTACTAGAGACTTTAACTCGCAGAGCAGACATTCAAAACTACCCTGTCTTTCTGAAAATTAGGAGAACTCTAATAAGTTATACTTCCCTAAAATTAAAGGACGACAAGAATATTGTATTTGAACAACTGTTCTACTCAACAAGTGACGTCTACAAAATCAATGTGCTGGAATATAAACATTGTCATTGGTACTTGTGGACTGTGGTGAACTTGGGAAAAAATGGATTTGACATCCGTATGGAGATTTGAATGAACTATTGAATATCCTCTTGACTATAAACTTATAAATCAATCACAGTGATAAATTCTCTGGTGAATCACTTTTAAAAACTCAATACTAATATCAAAGTAAGTATAACTAACATGTCAGAATCTGGTGCAGGGCGATCGTAGACGGTAGGATCCAACGTCTTCTCAAAGTACTCGTTAGCACGGCGGTTACCGATCCTATGGAAAACGGACACCATGTCATCGGTCCAGGCTTTCACGTCCAGCTCCAGTGATCTCACCTGGGGTAGAAAGTGTGGTTGGAGTTGGTTTAAATTCAAATTTGAGGATTAGAAAAGAACTATGAAACGTTTTATCTTAATTTTATTAAGTTCGTTATCTTAATTTTTATTAGGAATAACCCCGTTATTCCCATCCAATTCCCGTAATTTTAGTAATCCCACTCAATCTTACTCCATCAATCCCCTAATTACGGCATCCCATTAGATTACAGGCCGCTGGCTTGTCAACTCTAGCTGGCGCGCCGCGATATTCAATTCGCACAAGACTAATTAAAATCCAAGATAAGTCGCACAAGGTGAAGCCAGGGGGTCCTTTCCGAAAAAACGTTTAAGTGGCACTTAAGTGTATGGCCGACTTAAGTAGAATTCGTAAAAGTGTTTCTGAAACTCTACTTATGTATTTCCCAAAGTTTACTTATTTTGTTTCAAGTTTGAGACTTAAGTACAAAAGCGCACTTAAGTCGCGTTCAGAAATACACTTAACTTTAAGAGTTTAAGTAATACTAAAAAGTACACGCACTGTATGGTGCAAAACCCGCGCTAAAACTCTGACCATTTCTACAGTGATCGTGCTGCGTGTTTTGTTTGCAATTTGACAGTTGGATCCAGTGAACGCGTCATGTTTTGTGATTTCTAACTGGTTGTTAGTTTATCGCAGTGTCGTGATAATTATGCAAGTTCAATTGTGTTGTGTAAGCAATATTATAGCCTGTGTAGTGTCCATCTAGTAGAGTAGTCGAAACATTTATTCACTTTAATGTACACGAGTAGCGAGTACAATCATTCATTATAGTGATCGCTCGCTCCTTAATTAACAGTGTAATTAAGTTGCCTGTCAAGCGTCAACTGAATTATAGTTTAGTTAAAATCCTTGCAGTTCTAGTATAATTGTGGACAAGTTCTTATTTCACTTTTCAAGTGTGAAGGTCCACCTTCACATAGAATATGTCTCTGTCATATTATTCTTTTGTTATAAAATCTTAAATTCCCATATAAGATCTCGTACAGCTGAGTTTTTAACCGGCCGGTAGTGTTATCACTGTCGAGAACCTGATGCCCATATTCAAACACTAAAATGTTATGAATAAGTCAATTCCCTATAGGTGTGTTCTTTTGTCCAGGCAGGTCTATCCTTTGTAATCGGTCTTCTTTACTGCACTTGGAAAATGTCAGCCTCTTCCTCGAGGAATCATAATACATCGGGTGGAGCGCTGACTTAGACTTGATGATCCGTGGAAGAGGTGACCAATATTCTCGACGCCACGTTCTGATCTCAAAATGGGCCGACTGCAGTGAATAGAATGATGCGATGCCCTACCCAAGAATAATGATGTCACACGGAGTCACGTTGTGACCAAGTACCTATAACAACAACACTGAAATCGTTAAGAATTCTGACCTAAACCAATCCTGACTCAGGATTTGTCTTGTTTAGTTAGTTCGACAGCTGGTTGGCTTCACTAGGTCACGTGGCTTGAGGGTACCCGTGAGTGCCCAGGTTATTTAATGTGTGATACTCGCGCGTCTTGGTAGGTTATAATAACAATATAAGCCTACAACATGATGATGAGCTCAGTTTCTCAACAATCACATAAAATTTGATGCTCTCTCTCTCCCTCCTTCTTTGTCAACAATACCAATTTGAAAGTGGAACCTATCCCTGGCCCAGTGGCCATTTCACATCATGTGGTCTCGTATCTATCTGATGTAGAAACTAATACACCACAACGCTTTCTTTTGCCGAAGTTCCTCAATTCCTTATATAGGTGAGGTACATCCAGAAATTTTGTAATCCTTGCCATCCTTTGTTAAAGCAATACCACTTTGTGTAACTCAACTCAGTTCGCTATATTTCCTAACAGCACTGTGTGTTCCTTTGTTCAGGCGGGTTTAATCGGTCTTCATAACTACACTCAGACAATTTCAGCCTCTTCCTCAATAAATCGGGGGGGGGGGGGGGGGGGGGGGGGGGGCGGTGAAGACTGGAGGATCCGTGGAAGAGGCGATCAAGATTCTCGACGCCGGTTCTGATCACTTAATGGGTCGAATGTAGTGAATAGAATGACGCGGTTCTAAAGGAAACGATTAAAACTTACATAGAATCTTTTGTGTGCTCCCTTGGTAGGTTATAAGCCTACTACCATATTGTGATGAGCTTAGTTTCTCAACGGTCACATACAATTTGCTGCTCTCTCTCCCTTCCTCCTTCTCTGTCAGCAATGCCATGTGATGTTGTGGTCTAATGTCTATTTACTGTAGAAACTAAAACACCAATGGCCGAATTTCCTCAATTCGTTTTTCGAAAAACCAATTAACTGAGGCACAAATAAGCGTGCCTGCAACCTCAAAACGATTTTGGAACATCGTTGGCCAGGTGTTGCATAGTTATAAGTGCAACCCTCCTACTATATTTCAGTAATTTCCTTATCCAGTTTGTAAATTCTGATGCTGGCATTTCTTTTCCTGGAAAGTAATATACGACATTTTCATTCATTTTGATAAAAGTTATAATTCTAAATTCTTAAGTTTTCTATTTGAAATCAAATTTTGTTACTGTTAGCTTCCTTATTATGATTACAATGATAAAATCATGATAGCATGAATGCCATATGGATCACATCAAAAATGATACGTCACTGATTGGGCCATGTGATGTGATACCTGCGAGAGCTCAATCGCCCGGAATGAGGGGTTCTTAGTTGTCGGTCACCGGATGTTATTCCCATTTCATAAGAGGACGATTTTTGTTAAATGGTATAATTGTTATACTTAAAATTTACTGAAATAAACTGAGACAATTCAGTGAGTCAGGATGACACTGACCACGACGAAAATGAGCAAGCTCGAGTTTTTTCAGAGAAGGAAAAAATCAGCGAAACGAAATTGTCCGACAATTTTTCGTGACATAAAATTTTAAATTTATTTTGTTATATTATTATTCGTACTATTCGTAGGCAATTCTGTAATTATACTTTTAGTTTGCAACCTTCCAACTTCTTTTCCTTTTAATATTTTGGAGTTAGTACTATAATTTAGGCACTTAAGTAACCTCTGGACCATACTTATATTTTAAGTGAAAAACACCGCACTTAAGTACGTACTTAGGTAAGATTCTCGACTTAAGTAAAAAGACTTAAGTGCGAAATATGACTTAAGTTTTCGCACTTAAGTCTCATTTCGAAAATACTTTTTGCTTAACTTTTTACTTAAGTACCATTTTTGACTTAAGTACCGTTTCGGAAAGGACCCCCAGGATCCATCTTGAGCTAGAGAAAATTGATGTATTTCGTGCATGTATGTGAGTCATATTAAGTCATATTATTATTATAACTAAGATCCTAAACCACGCGATATTCGTCTTCGTTAGCACGTGTGTTAAATGAATTCCCTCCTAAGATCGTGGGCCTGGGAGCTGAGAAACCAATTATCTCAGAACGACAATTACAGCTGCCTGAAATGCTTATGACTACTGATCATACGTTTAGTGAGGCATAATGTTTTATAAGAAGGTTCAGCTCAACATAGCAACAGGGTGAGTTCGTATGTTCCACGTGCAAAAAGAGCAGTTAGTCTTTAGATAGTGTTCAAGTTTTTAGTTGGCTTTCTCTGAGGTTTTAGAGGGAGTGCTTTTTTTTTCTAGTGAAAGTGCTGGTGACGATGAGAAAGACCATAAACCAGGGATTCCTTCGGGAGCATGTAAGATTATATCCAAAGTTTGTTCGCCAATGGGGTGTGTCTGGGTGTCAAAGATCTTCAAGGTGGGTGCTACTTGTGATGAACTCTAGAAGGATGGGGTGGTAATACTCGGTCTGGCCGTCTGGAAGCCCATAGAATTCCAGTTCAGAAACCGAGTAAGGAGGTGCGGCTACTGATGAGAAGCCTCCTTAAAGTTTATTTGGGTTAGAAACGACATCTGGGTCCCTACCCTCGCACAAGATTATTCTCAATTTTCTTGTTGTGTTCCACAACTATACTTCTGTATACTTCAGTGATTGGGCTGATGACTCCAGTGAAAGGGCTGGTGACTCTAGTGAAAGTGCTGGTGACGATGAGAAAGACCATAAACCAGGGATTCCTTCGGGAGCATGTAAGATTATATCCAAAGTTTGTTCGCCAATGGGGTGTGTCTGGGTGTCAAAGATCTTCAAGGTGGGTGCTACTTGTGATGAACTCTAGAAGGATGGGGTGGTAATACTCGGTCTGGCCGTCTGGAAGCCCATAGAATCCCAGTTCAGAAACCGAGTAAGGAGGTGCGGCTACTGATGAGAAGCCTCCTTAAAGTTTATTTGGGTTAGAAACGACATCTGGGTCCCTACCCTCGCACAAGATTATTCTCAATTTTCTTGTTGTGTTCCACAACTATACTTCTGTATACTTCAGTGATTGGGCTGATGACTCCAGTGAAAGGGCTGGTGACTCTAGTGAAAGTGCTGGTGACGATGAGAAAGACCATAAACCAGGGATTCCTTCGGGAGCATGTAAGATTATATCCAAAGTTTGTTCGCCAATGGGGTGTGTCTGGGTGTCAAAGATCTTCAAGGTGGGTGCTACTTGTGATGAACTCTAGAAGGATGGGGTGGTAATACTCGGTCTGGCCGTCTGGAAGCCCATAGAATTCCAGTTCAGAAACCGAGTAAGGAGGTGCGGCTACTGATGAGAAGCCTCCTTAAAGTTCATTTGGGTTAGAAACGACATCTGGGTCCCTACCCTCGCACAAGATTATTCTCAATTTTCTTGTTGTGTTCCACAACTATACTTCTGTATACTTCAGTGATTGGGCTGATGACTCCAGTGAAAGGGCTGGTGACTCTAGTGAAAGTGCTGGTGACGATGAGAAAGACCATAAACCAGGGATTCCTTCGGGAGCATGTAAGATTATATCCAAAGTTTGTTCGCCAATGGGGTGTGTCTGGGTGTCAAAGATCTTCAAGGTGGGTGCTACTTGTGATGAACTCTAGAAGGATGGGGTGGTAATACTCGGTCTGGCCGTCTGGAAGCCC